TGTTTTTGCTGACTGTATAGAGCTTCTCCATCTTTGGCTGCAGAGAATATAATCAATCTGATTTCGCTTTTGTCCATCTATAGATGTCTATGTGTAGAGTCACCTCTTGTGTTGTTGGAAAAGAGTGTTTGTGATGACCAGCTTGTTCTCTTGACAAAACTGTATTAACCTTTGTCCTGCTTCATTTTGAACTCCAAGGCCAAACTTTCCTGGTGTTCCTTTTATCTCTTGACTCCCTACTTTAGCATTCCAATCCCCTAGAATTAGAAGAACATTTTTCTTTGGTGTCAGTTTTAGAAGTTGTTGTAAGTCTTCATAGAATTGATCAATTTCAGCCTCTTCAGCATTGGTAGTTGGTGCATAAACCTGGATTATTGTGATGTTGAAAGTTCTGACTTGGATTAGTATTGAAATCATTCTATCAATTTTGAGATTGTATCCCAGTACAGCTTTTCCCACTCTTTTGTTGACTATGAGGGCTACTCCGTTCCTTCTATGGGTTTCATATCCACAGTAGTAGATATGATAATCATCCAAATTGAATTCGCCCATTCCCATCAATTTTAGTTCACTGACATCCAGAATATCAATGTTTATTCTTGCCATCTCTTGTTTGACCACATCCAGCTACCCAAGGTTCATAGATCTTACATTCCAGGTTCCTATGCAGTATTCTTCTTTGCAGCATCGGACTTTTCTTTCACTTCCAGGCGCGTCCACAGCTGAGCATCCTTCTGGCTTTGGCCCAACCACTTCATTAGCTCTGGAGCTACTTGTACTTGTCCCCCACTCTTCCTCAGTAGCATGTTGAATGTCTTCTGACCTGAGGGGCTCATCTTCCAGCATCATATCTTTTAGCCTTTTGTTTCTGTTCATGGGGTTTTCTTGGCAACGATAGTGGAGTGGCTTGCCAGTCCTGCTCCAGGCAGATCACGTTTAGTCAGAACTCTCCACAATGACCTGCCCGTCTTGAGTGTCCCTGCATGGCATAGACCATAGTTTCTCTGAATTACTGAAGACCCTTTGCCACAACATGACAAGGCAGCAATCCATGAAGGGGTGGCAAAAGGCAAGTGGAAGTAAACTTCCTTCCTTTGAGCTCTCTCAATTGCTCCATTGTTCTGAGGGCCCCCAACATTCTGCTGAAGATTTTCAGGCAACACATGGAAATGCAGGGAGAGTAGGACCCATTAAAACTACCACCTGTCCTATTCATCTAACAAAGGTCCTCCCAGCCATGAGTGGAAACAGCCTCTCAGTCTGCTGGAGTCATGTTTGTGTTGTTAACAAAGAAGCCTAGTTCATTGAAAGAGTTCTGAGTAATGATTACATTCCTTCACTCCTTTTCACAGAGCTTTGAAAAACTACTTTCATGAACTACAGCTCTCCATAATCCCCAGCTAGTATGGATATAATGAGTTACTCTTATGAGAAGGATGGAGCAGGGAGTTAAGGGAGGAGAATTTCCTAATCAGTTCACCTCATCCAGCTATGACACTGCTTCCAAGGTCAAGCAAAGTTTGGAAATGTTACTTTTTTGGGACTGCATCTCCCAGCATCTCTCAGAGAGCATACCTACAGTCCATGCCAAGGTTCACAAGAATAACACTTCCAAGCTACTATTAATTCAGGGAAATTCTCCCTTTTTCCTTTTGCCTTCAGAACAATTCTATATTTGAGTTTATCTTGGTGTCTAGAAATGTTTTTTTCTGAATCTAAAGCAGGGTTATTGGGGTTAAATACCTTGCTTTTTTGTAATATGAAACCGACTTTTCTTAGGGTGCATTCCATTCTGGCATTAAAATATTGGCCATAATAGGACTGATATAAAATCGAAATACTTCCCTCTGCCTTTCCCTTTGTTTCCTGCTTTTTAGATCCCTGTGGTTCTTATCCTTGTCAGAATGGAGGAACGTGCGTTCAGCAGGGTTTAGAGAGATACCACTGTGTTTGTCCAGTTGGATATGGAGGAGATGCCAATTGTGGTAGGTTGTTTCATTTTAGATACTGGTGGAGTGATTTCCAATAAATTCAATAAAGCAATTGAGGGGTTTCATAACTGTGATTGTTCTTTATTAAAGTATACCTTCCCTAAGGATTTTACTCATAGGCCTCAATCCAATTGTTAATTTCAACTACAGTACAGCCACTGGATCAAAGGAAGCGATGTAAATGTTCACTTATGAAGTTCCCATTGATTCATTGGGTAAACTCCAGTTGGGGCTGGATCTAGGGCATACCTGAGAGAGGGAGGAGGCTTTAGGTTTCTGTGCTTCCCTGCCCTGTTCCCTTCTTCATGGGCAGCAATGAAAGAGTTAACTAGGGTTAACGTTCAGTTTAATTGTATGATTAATGATCACAATATATTTTATTTTGTTATTGATCATAACCCAAAACCCATTACAGTTTTTCTCTTGGTTGTATCTTGTTTTTGTCCTTAGAAAGCAATTTAATTTGGAATTCAGACTTCAGCAGATCTAAATTATCCTCTTATGGTGATATCCGTAGGCTACTGTTTATGCTACATTAGAAACTGCTTGTTATGCTTTCATTTTGAATTTCTTATGGTGTTTGTCTCCTTTTAAAAAAACATTCCAGCACCAGCACCCAAAATTAGTATGGAATGCAGTGTGGACCTCCTCCTTCTAGTGGACAGTTCATCCAGCACCACCCTTGAAGGATTCTTGCGCTATAAAGCATTCCTGAAAAGATTCCTCCAAACAGTGTGGAGGACAGAGACTCCAGGGAATGTGGGTGTGGCCCAGTATAGCAGTGATGTCAAGATGACCAGTGGAGTTGAGGACTACAAAGATGTGCTCAGTCTGGTGAAAGACATTGATTCCATGCAGTTCAGTGGAGGAAGTACACTGACTGGCCAGGCTTTGTGGTTTGTTGTGCAGCATGGTTTTAAGAGGACACCAGCCTTTGCTGACAGCTCTCATGATCTCCCACGTGTGGTTGTCTTGCTAACGGATGCAAATGCTCAGGATTCAGCAGTGGAAGCAGCTAAATACATCCAAAGCCAAGGCATCTTCCTTATTGGAATTGGGAGTGAATTTTTGAGAGCAGAGCTAGATCAAATTACAGGGAATCCAAAGTGGACAATTGTCTACTCAACCCCACAAGATCTATTTAACAAGATCCCTGAATTACAGAGAAAAATCTGCAGCATTGCCAACCAAGGTAAGCATTTTAGGTACAGACGTGCTTGAATGTAGGCCGCCCAGAGACCTTTGGGTAGTTCCTTGAATGTAGGTAAAGCATGCTTGAAGATGTGGTGTAGAAGAACATGAAAGCAAAGGCATTACCTTTCACTGATGTTCATCAAATCCAGTTCTCTGAAATGAAAAAGGACTTGCTATTTGATGAACAATCCCAGATGCTCACCCAACTTGTTCTTAGAATACCCCTGAGAAGGCCCAGTAATGCCACGACTTGCTTCAGCAGCCTGTTGCTTATCAGAAGTCAGAAAGCATTTATTCGTCTTGTACCTGTACATTCTGATATGGTACCATTCATATAATTTTCTACATGCATAACTGATATTTCAGGTTGAAGGGCATTTGTTATTGAATTAACCTATTTAGAAATGAAAACATTTGTTATGTTTTAGCCCACCCTTAAAAGATCTTCGGTTGTCTTCCCACTCTAATTTTATTCTAGCAACCCTGTGAGGTAGGTTATATGAAAATGGTTTCCTTCGGAATTTCAAAATAGGGTGAAAAGTTGAACCTATTCCTCCCTCATCCAGCACCTTACCTATTATATCACCTTGGTTTTGCCTTACAAGAATTACTGGATAGCTCAATAGTTTAGGTATCTAGCTGTGGAGCCAGAGGTTGGGAGTTTGACTCCTCAGGGCATCTTGTTGATAGGGACTGGACTCAATGATTCATAGGATCCCTTCCAGCCCTGCATTTCCAAGATTACTATTGCTTGCTCCGTGTCTCTGTTCAGTGCAGTCCCTGTTGTTCAAATATTTGCTATTCTGAGACTTCTAGGGCTGCCAAATTTCTTGTCTTCCACCCAGAGAGTGATATCAATATAATCGTAGGCCTGTACAATACACCTTTCAAACTTTGGAGATGTTTTCAAGTTATTCATTAAGCAATCTCTGGTCTTGCAACTATGTTTTTTCTTCTTCTTCTTAGGCTGCCCATCTCAGTCCCTGGATTTGGTGTTTGCCTTGGATTCCTCAGCTTCAGTTGGAAGGAACAACTTTGTGAAGCTGAAAACCTTTGTCAGCAGGCTCTCTTTGCAGTTTGACATTAATATGGCTCAGATAAGTCTTGTTGTCTTTGGCCAAAGGCCCCAAACCGTATTTGGGCTGGACACACACACGCATGGGCCAGCTCTCCAGGAATCCATCACCCAAGCTCCCTTTGCAGGTGGCTCTGCCTCAGTTGGCAGCTCTTTGTTGCATATTCACGATGAGGTTGTGACTGTTCAAAAAGGATCAAGGCCTGGTGTTAAGAAGATTGTAGTTGTGATCACAGGGGGAGCTGGAGTGGAGGATGCTCTAGTTCCTGCTCAGCAGCTACGTCATAATGATGTATCACTTCTAGTTGTTGGAATGGGGCATCTCCAAGTGGACCCATTATTAAGGATTGCTGGTACTCGTGATAATTTGTGGAGGATACCTTCCTATGAAGATCTAAAATACAATGAAGATATTATTGTTGAAAGAATATGTGATGGTAAGATCATAATTTTGATTCTCTGCTTATATTTTATGTCCATTGATTCTTATTGATTGATTGATTGATTGATTGACTGATTGATTGATTGATTGATTGATTGATTGGATTTTTCCCCCGCCCCTCTAGACCATGTCTACTCAGGGTGGCTTACAAAATAAAACAGTATAAAACAGTATAAAAATATATAAAATCATAAAATTACAAATTTCAATTTAAAACAATTAATTTAAAGAGAGGATTACCAAGATGGAAGAGCCAAAAAGAGAGAGAGAGAGAGAGAGAGAGACATCATGTGACTTCGTATTGTTCAAAATGGCCAGGTTTTCCCCAGCCCTCTGGTTTGGTTCCTGAGTCTCCCGATGCTCTAAGGCAGTGGTCCCCAACTTTGGGCCTCCAGATGTTCTTGGACTGCAGTTCCCAGAAGCCTTCAGCTGCCCCACAAATCAATTTCTGATTGATTTATTGAGAAATGTTCACCCCTTCTTTGCATCAAATTTATCAGGTTAGTTAGCAACTTTCAAGTTATTAAGAATGAAAATGCAAAATTATGAGAAGTGGGGAGAAATAAATACAAATTAAATTCAGAGCTAAAATGTATGCTTTAAAAAAACTGGAGAAAATAAGATGATGTTTGGCCAGACAAGCCTCTTTAGGAATAGGTTTCTATAAATGGAGCACAATTGCTGGAGCCAGAGAAATCCTATGAGCGACTGGCATAGTTGCACTTAACCCTATGTCCTTAAGTCTGTGGTTTATTCCTTTTGCGTTTAAAAGATCTAAAATATGTAATGCCATTAGTGGTCATTACTCAGTATGGCAATTGATTTATATGATACAATATTTGCTATGCCTTATGAACTGTGCATGGTCAAAATTAGAGCTTGGAAATATTATCCTTTTGGGCTACAATTCCCTGAATCTCCAAGTTAGCTATGGGACTTCTAGGGGTTGTGGTTAAAAAAAAGTGTCCCTAATCAAGAGCTCAGAGATCAAATTAAGTTGTTCAAGCTGCATTTATTCCCTGTATGTTAAATTTTTAGTATGTTGGGAAGGACCTTCTTTGCATTCAGAAAACGTTGCTTTGCCATCAACTCTGCAGGCATTTGCACCCCTTCTAAGTATACTGGGAGAGGGGAGGGCTGGCTGGGAAGGCTGTGAGATGTGACAGAAATCTGAATTAAAAAACAAAACAAAAACAATTTGAGTTCCAATCCAGTATCTCCAAGTCTGGAGTCTACAATTTTTGGTCTTCCAGAGAAGTTGGACTGCAGTTCTTATGATCCTTCTTCCTCTACACTGCTGACTAACACTATTGATAGATGTATTCTAACAACATTTGGAAGGCCACCAGTTACTGAGAGCTAATAAGGAAAGATGAAAAATTCAATTCAATCATATATGCCAGATAGGCAAAAGTACATTTGAAATATTTTTGTTGTGGATTTGTTTGCAAATTTGAAAAACTACCCTTTAAGGATCTGCAATATGATGAGTGAATTTTCTCTATACTAGCACTTTCTATTAAAAATGTCCATGGACGACGCCAACATCACTCTTGGGCCAGAATCCCAGCACCCACTAGAGCCCTGTCTGGTGGGTTCTGTCCTTGTCTTCATTTTTAAAAAAATCAGCTTAAAACAATAGTGTTTAAAATGACTTAAAAACTCCACAAGTTGACGATGCTTCCAGCAGTGTTGGGTGTGGGGTTAGGCCTTGCTAGTAATTAAATTTCCAAAAATGACTTCCAAAATCTCCTCAGTACAACACTGTGTCAGCAGCTCTGAGGAGAATTTAAATGGTGGACATAGCTGTCCAACACAGTTCAGAAGACTGATATGATTTGAAGCATTCTCACTGAGCCCAATAGACAGAGGAGGGAGACATCCAACGGAGAGGACTTTGCCCTAGATTTCTGTTAAATCTAAATCTGGTCTCAGTTTCCAAGTTTCTGTAAGTAAATAAATAAATGCTGTCTTTTAAAGTTGTCAATCTGACCCACATGGCTTCTCTTGTGTTCTAATATTCATACTTTCCTCCTCAATGAAGCAAACTTTCATCTTATATGAAGAATAGAGAAGACTTTTTAAGGTCTATAGGGCTACCAAAAACACAGCAGATGTGTGGCATCTTTTAAAAATAAAAACTGTTGAGAGAAGCCAGATTAAACTTCCTCCCTACTTCCCCACCTTCAAGTGGTGCCTTAAATCTTTGCAATGTGCTCAAGATCAAAGGAGTCACATGTGATCTGCTTTTCATCTTGTGGTATACGGCTCTTCCAAGATAATCAGCACATCCCTAACACATCAAACAGTCATTGTTTGATTGTTTGTGGAAACAGGGAAGATGACCAGCTGCTCTTCCAAGAGTCAGTGTGTTTTGTGTACAAAACAAAACCAATGATGAGGAATACGTTCATAGCCTTTAGATGTAGCTTAACCATTTGCAGAATGGTTGAGGATCTGATAAGCTGTCAGATGCTGTGTTGGATCAAAAGGAATACACTGAAGCAAGCAAAAGAGTTAAAAGAGGAATAAGAGTTGTGACAACTTTAAGCCTATTGCAAACATACTATTCATGGGCAAGGTGATTGAGCAATTGGTGGCAGAACAGCTCCAGACATATCTGGAGGAGAATTGCCTTGATCCATTGCAGTCCAGGCTCAGACCACAGCATGGTACTGAAACAGCACTGGTCGCACTGCACAATGACCTTTTATGGGAGGCTGACAAGGGAGGACTGACTCTGCAGGTCCTACTGGATCTATCAGCAGCTTTTCATACCATCAACCACAACATCCTCTTGGACAGGCTCTTAGAGGGGGAGGATTGGGGTTTCAGCGTTTCAGTCCTTTCTCGAGGATCATATCCAGAAAGTACAGTTTGAGGATGAATTGTCAGTCCATTGTACTCTCACTTGTGGAGTTCCCCAGGGGTTAATCAATCTCCTCAATACTCTTTAACATCTATGTTAAGCCACCAGAGGAGGTCATCAGGAGATTTGGAGTAACCAATATGTTGATGACACACAACTCTGTCTCTCCTTCTCATCGTCTGCAGTGGATCCTGTCTGGATGCTCAAGCACTGCCTGGCCTTGGTCCTGGAATAGACCAGGGCAAATAGGCTCAAGCTGAACCTGTACAAATTGGAGATCCTTCTCCTGCAAATCCCCCGATTAGTTAGGGGGAAATCTGCCTGGACTGGATGTCCTCCCACTTAGGAAGCATGTCCGGAACCTGGGCATGTACCTGGATCCAAATCTTCTGGTGATCTCCAAGATTGATGGCTATAGTATTCTATGTGAGACATCTTTTGAGGCTGACCTGGAAACTTCAGCAGGTACAGAATGCAGCTGCTAGGCTGGTGAAAGTTATGGGTAACCCCAGTTCTAGCCCACCTTCACTGTCTACTTGTCAGGTCAGGTTCAAGGTTATGGTGTTCACCTATGAAGCTCCTCACAGTTTGGGACCCCATTACTTGGAGGAGCATCTTTCCCCAATATCATCCACCTATGCTTCCAGATCCACACAGGCAATGTTCCTCACGGTGCCCATGCCAAAGGAGGCCAGGAAATGATTAAGAAGCCATGTCTCCGCAGCTGAGGTCACTTTACTCTGGAACCAACTACTGATCAAGTTGTATCTGGCAGCCTTTTTGCCTCCCTTTAAGAGGTTACTAAAGACAAATCTCTTTAATGAACTCTTTGATGGCAACCTCTCATGATTTTGTTCTACCTTTGCACTGCCATTTTGCCATTTTATCATAAACTGCCACTTTATCTTGGCATTTGCACCTGAAATGTTTACCTTATTTTTAGTCCATTGTTTGATTTGTTGCTTGATTTTGTTGCATTACATTAATCAGTGACAGACTCCACATGTGGAAAATAAGAGCTCCTGATTTGCCATAGCTTCTTTCCTCTATGAAGCTTCTACAGTACAAGGAAGAGTGCTTAGTGATTTCGTCTTCTTGACCACAAAACAAAACAAAGCCGCCCAGAGTCGACTATGTCTAGATGGGCGGCATATAAATGCAATAAATAAATAATAAATAAATAAATTTAAAACAAAAACAGCACAACCTGAAGTGTTAAGCAATTAGAGACTCCCCCCCCCCTTCAGCCTTGAGTACAACAGACATTCTCTGTTGTGATTCTTTTTTCCAGAGGCCAAGAAACCAGTGAACATCTGCAGGCCAAACCCCTGCATGAATGATGGGATTTGTGTTCCTGAAAATGGCAGGTATCACTGTGAGTGCCAAGGCTGGGAGGGAGCACACTGTGAAAATGGTAAGACTTCTTGGAGAATTAAAGAACGTGTTTCTGTTAGATGTCTCTGTCACCTTAATTTATATTTCTTTGATGGATTCGTTGGTTGGCCGGCTGGTTGGTTGGGTGATTGTATTTTTATGCTACCTTTCTTTGGGTTCCATTTCAACCTAAAGTCCCCCAAATAGTCTTCATCCTATCAATGCAAAATGAAAGCTTACTGGCTTCAAGTAAGGCCATATTCCTAAAAGTACATTGGGTATATGTTAAAAATAATTGTGTTTGTGGTGTCAAAGTTTATTGTTGAATGACATGTACTTTCTTGTTAGCTGTTTTTACAAGTACTAAGTTACTTGTTGTGATTCTCTTTCAAGCACATACTGTTTAATTTTAATTAGATCACTCTTTCTTCAAGATCTTGTTGGATTTGCTTCTGGAAGAATAGGCATGTTTGCTGATTAATGGGGCTAAACCAGCAAATGTCCTCACGTTATGGGTGGCATATAGGCTTGCTAAGGAAGAAGTTCTCTGAAGATGGGTCTGCCAAACAGATTGCACAGTTTGCATAGTTTGGAGGAACAAGGGAGCATCGGAGGGGACCCGAAGTCACCTTGCAGTTGGTCAGCATTTTGAGAGTTTATGGCCCTTTGGTGGGGGAATATGATGCAAACAGCACAAGTCAAGGATGCTGGTCAGAGCATCCATCCTTTCATATGCCTGAGAACTGATTCACAGCAGAAATGGTTCGGAGAAGGTTGCTTGTAGCTCCATAAATCCATTACTCTCTGAAATGATGTCATTATGTGGGCTTCACTGCAGATCACAAAATTTCATTCAGACAGTATTTTTTCTTAATATTAAAAGCCAGACATTATTGCAATAACATTGTAACAGGACTTGAATTATTGGGGAAACCTTCTTGTGAAATAATAGGGTGTTGGCTCAATCCTTATATGGTTACCTTTTTTACTAATCCCTGCTAAATTTTCAACAGAATAAGATATTACAGTACAGTAAGTAATGAGCTGCTGTGTTGTTTTACTGTACTTTAAAAATTAATAACTGTGATCGTTAGCTGCTTTTGGAAATCTTCAGTTTTGAAAAGTATTATGAAAGTATTATAAATAAATAATATTAAGCCAGTTCACAGTATGGACTTGTATACTGATCACTTTAGTGTAATGAAAGGATGTGGTGGGGCTGTGGGTTAAACTGCAAAGCCTCTATGCTGCAAGGTTGCAAGATCAGCAGTTTGAATACTCGCAATGGAGTGAGCTCCCGTCGCTTGTCCCAGCTCCTGCCAACCTAGCAGTTCGAAAGCATGTAAAAATGTGAGTAGATAAATAGGTACCACCATGGTGGGAAGGTTATGGTGTTCCGTGTCTAGTCGCGCTGGCCACGTGACAATGGACAAACACTGGCTCTATGGCTTGGAAACAGGGATGAGCACCGCCCCCTAGAGGCGGACACAACTGGACATTTGTCAAGAGTAACCTTAAAAATTGTAATGATTTCTCATGCTAAAAGCTGGGGAAATGAAAAAAGCATTGAAAATTAACTCATATTTTCTTTTTGTATGTAAAAATGAAGCACTTATTGTCCATCTACAAAACCATATATATATATATGTTTTTTTTTTTAAATGCAGGTATTCAGAGAGGTGATGCTTTCCGATCACGGGTACATCCAGCGATAGTCCGTGCCCAATGAAACATATGTGATTGGCAGCCATGATACAGAACCCAGCACTATTCAAATGGGAATATGCCACAGAATCACTGAAGAGGTCAGAAGTCCTGCCTTCAGCTGCTGAAAATATTTTTATGAAAGAACTGAAAAATAGCAAAGCTTACGGGATATAAATATTTACAGAGTTTAAGAGTTTTTGCACAGAAATCTATCATAATTTTATTGAATATTTATTAACAATATACTGTCACTGTAAAATCAGTGTTTCTTCTATACAGTAAGTATCATCACTCTGAAATTCTTTTTGTTTTTGCTTTTACTTTTTGTCTGTTTGTTTCTGGTTTGGTCGTTTGATAATTTTAAAATCAAACCAGTAGAAGGGCTACGGTCATTGAAAATTAACAGGTATTTGTATATTAGCCTGCATAATTAAATTGTAAACCACCCAGGGAGTGCTTGAAGCACTATGGGGCGGTATATAAGCAGAACGCTTTGCTTTGCTTTGTTATATTAAAAATGAAGCACTGATGTTATTGCTAAATTCTCTCCAGTTTCCCTACATTGAGAAAGACATTTCCCACATAGTGGAAAGTTTCAGGGATCTACAATTTACCTAGATTGTGTTACTGCATCCTATGATATTTCTGTGAAGCTGATTTTTTTTTCAACTGTACAAGATGAGCAGAAGCAGAGGCACAGCTTAATATGTCAACATGTATTAACATCCATTCCCTTACTTCAGAACTCCAGAAAAAAGCACTCCCACTGAACCTGCTATATCTTTATAATCCCCTGCCTCTTTCTCACTCTTGTTGCCTGGTGCTATCTGCAGTTTTTATTCAGTTCAGTTCAGAAACCTTTATTAGGCATATACAGAATAACAAATTAACAGGTAAGTCAAAATTAAAACCCTCCCTCTTTCTCACTCTTGCTGCCTGGTGCTATCTGCAGTTTTTATTCAATTACATTAAAGAACAGCTTGTTCTCCTTTTGGCCAGAGAGAGAAATAAAACTAGTCATAACCATCTTGTCTAATCATCTCCTAACCTTCTTCAAGTTTTTACTTGTTGTGTCTCCAGCAAAAGGTGTGCCTGGCCGTGACAACTTCACTACTGTTTAGAGCAGAGGATGGAACCTTATGGCCACGAGCCACATGTAGCCTGTGGGGCCTAAATCTCTCTTTCTAAAAAATGTATACTTTAGAGTGCCCCGTGACCTATTTCGAGGGCAGATCACCATTCTTGAAGGCTTGCAGGAGTTACCATGCTCACTCTTCCTCTCTTTTTTTGCTAGAAAAAAAGGGGGAGCAGAGAAGGGAAGTGCATGCAGCCTGGGAGCACACTTTGTCCAACCCAAAATGGAAAAATGTCCACATCTTGTGGAAAGGAAAAGGTCTCCAGCAAAAGGCATACCTGGCCGTGGCAACTTCACTACCAACTGTTTAGAGCAGAGGATGGAACCTTATGGCCACAAGCCGCATGTAGCCTGTGGGGCCTAAATCTCTCTTTCTAAAAAATGTATACTTTAGAGTGCCCCGTGACCTATTTCGAGGGCAGATCACCATTCTTGAAGGCTTGCAGGAGTTACCATGCTCACTCTTCCTCTCTTTTTTTGCTAGAAAAAAAGGGGGAGCAGAGAAGGGAAGTGCATGCAGCCTGGGAGCACACTTTGTCCAACCCAAAATGGAAAAATGTCCACATCTTGTGGAAAGGAAAAGGTCTTCCTGGACAGGCTGTTAGTTCCTTGCCTACCTTCCAGCAGAAAGAAAGAAATGACCCCTACCTTCAAAAACTGATGACGCTGGTGCTATGAGACACTCTGCAAAGATCCAGCACATATGCACATCTTTAGCATAGCTACTACCAAAACTTTCCTCCCTCTTCCTGCTGCTGCTTTCTTACTGTTTTCCTCCCTGCCATCCAGAGGCAGATGCATTCCCTCCTGCCGACATACAGTGTTGCTAAATAGAACACTGCTGTTTTTGCTTTAAATTTGGCAGTGGCAGCAGCTAATTTAGCAGTAGTCACTGAGTATTGTCAACAGCAGGCTATTGGGCTGCAGTGCAGCACCCGGTGGATTCCTGGGGGCAGGTCCATTGTGCTCCCTCAGCCCCAGGATAGTGTCCCTTTGCTCCTTTGTTTAGGTTGACTTTTTGTGTGTGTCTTTTGGCCAATGGTGCCTTAGTCATAGAGTATCCTGAACATAGTTCCTATTGGCTAAGATATTGATTGATACACCTACCTAGAAATAAATTTCAGCCATTTCTTCTAGTGGATATTACAAAATCTTATGGCAATACATTATAAAAGCAGATTGTGTGGTGTACGAGGAAGCAAAAGGCAAAACGGCACCGGCCCTACCATTTATTAATTGTTGAATATAGTTTGTGATGTACATTTGTGGAACATTTTCAGTGTACAAAAATGAAACTCTACGCCACGCTTAGGTTTTTCCCCTCTATTCTGTCAGTTCTGTATGTTATTTGTACTTGTTGCATTTACTCTCTGTGTATGCATAGTGGGAAAGGGTGGCTAGTTTATATAAAACGGCTCCTAAGTTATGCCTGACAGACATTTTTGTTATTCTGAAGCACTGCATCAGCAACTGGCATGTTCACCTTGCAATGGCTAATAAATATTTGACTTTCTGTGCCAGAACTATTTTCTCACCCAGTTCCAGCTCAAAGTGAGATAACATGAAAAATGTCTTGTTTAAAACACACCAGTCAGTAAGAGTGACACAGGAGTGGATATGAGACTGAGATAAAACTGTTGGATCTCATGAGTCAAATGATGGAGGCTTCTAAATTCTGCTTCTCATACTGTAAGAGTGCCAGTGTCATAGCAATTGTCCCCATGCTCTCTCTTCCTTACATTGGGGCCCTGTCAGATTCATCTACATGATGGCTGCACAAGCTTTGCATGGTCACTTGAATATGAAGAGTTTTAGATGACGACACAGGTCTGTTTATTCTGTCTTTCCTTCTTTATTCGTATCAGAACATTGTGTAATTTAAATTTATGAACATATATGAAATATAGGTAAATTTTAACAACTAAAATGTTAAGATAATTAGACTATTTTTGAATAGAAGCAGACTACAGTACTTGAATAGCATTCTCTCTGCTATTTGCTAAACCTTCATTTGTACATGTGGCAGGGCATAAATTGCATGCATGCAGATACATTGATTGCATTTCTCCGCAGTCACAGAAAATTTGTCCTTCATTAGTCTTTTATCTTCCTTCTTTGCTTCGAAATTTATTAAGTGATGTCCAGAGGGTCTAAATAGAGTCTTGTCTTCAGTGTTCACCCTTTTGGTAAAGTGTGTTGTTTTTATTTTCCATGTTTTTAGCCTAGCCTCTTCCGATGTGATATTTAGAGCTCAAGACGTGTGGAGAAAACCTTTTCCTCAAATGTAGGTGCTGTCTAGGCAGTAGTTTCCAACCTGGTTTACCCAGGTGTTCCTGAATTGTCATTACCAGAAGCTTTCACCCCAGTTGTCCTGGTGACTTTGAATGATTAAGAAACTTAGTACCATTGCTAATTATTGTGGTTTCAAGATATCTATTGAAGTTCAGATGCTTGGCAAATGTTCCCATACTGAATATATGCTGAAAAACTCATCTTTTGGGGAGTAAGTAAATATTGTTGTGGAGCTGGTGGTTGGGAGTTTGACTTCCCACTGTGTCTCCTGGGAGAAGAGTCAGCCTGGGTAGCCTTGGGCAAGCTGCACAGTCACAAGGCACCCTCAGAAGAAAGTAGAAGCAAGGCAAAACATCCCTGAGTGCTCAGCTACCTAGAAAATCCTAAAAGGGATCACCATATCTTGGAACTGACTTGACAGCACACCACTATCATTATCTTTATTGTATTAGTTGCCGTTACAGTTATATTGTTCTCCTGTCACCGTTCTGTATTCATCCTCTGTCTTTCTTGTTTAGAAAAGAAGCTATGTTAAATATGTAAACCACCCAGAGTAGACACATTCTAGATGGGTGGTACATAAATCTAATAAAATAAATGAATAAATAAATAGACATGGGGCACCCTTTGAAGACAGTCTGGTGACTGCAACTCATGGGGCAGCCTTTGAAGACAGTCTGGTGACTGCAACTGGCACAGAACTGGGCTGCGTGGCTGGTAAGTGGTGCCATTGAGCGGAATCATATCACGCCGGTTCTGAAAAATTTACACTAGCTGCTGGTTGCTGCTCAGGCCCAATTCAAAGTGCTTACTCTGACATATAAAGCCCTAAACGGCTTAGGACCTGGTTACCTAAAGGACCGCCTTCTTTCATATGAGCCTGCCCATCCTCTAAGATCAGGCCAGGAGGCCCTTCTGAAGGTGCCATCCCTGAAAGAGGTGAGGGGGGATGGCATGTTGAAATAAGGCCTTCTCGGCTGTTGCCCCCCAACTTTGGAACACCCTCCCTTATAGAGATCTGCCTGGCTCTGACACTTTTGGCATTTCAGAGCCAGGCAAAGACCTTTCTCTTTAGTCAGCATTTTAATTAAATAGTCCCCTATAGCTGGCCATATGAGCAGCAGGATTTATTAATGCTAAATAGACTGTTTTAATATTGGGTGTTATTATAATATTGGGTATTATTTTAATGGTTTTAATGTGATTCTAAAGTTTTAATATTGCTGTATACCGCTCAGAGACCATTGGTAATGGCGCGAAAATGTAAATAAATAAATAAATGAATGAACGAATAAATAAATAAATAAAATTCACAGCAAAATTCAAATATATGAGTTGTGATAAAAAATTCAAATATATGACTTGTGATAGTATGCTGAGATCTGCAGCATTAATTCCACACCCAGCTGAACTTGATTCTTTTCATTCTCTTACCCTTTTTTGATTCTATCTTGTGTTTTTTATTAGAGATGGACATGAACCACCAGTTCATCGGTTCATGCTGGTTCACTGCATTGATCACTTTTCTGTACAAATTAGAAGTGACACAGACTTCTGCTACTCTGTCAGGGCTCTTTTTCACCCCTTTTCAGGGGAGTCTTTCACCTTCCTCTGGACATTTTGCATCAAGGCTGACTATAAGCTTGGCAAATGCTATTAGCCATTAAAGGTGGTTTTCTTTATTTATTTTTTGTTCTAGTCTGCAGTTTTACATTCGAAAGGTTATGTGAGTTGCTGCAGTTTTCTCATTTGCAGAACTGACACAAAGCGATTCACTTCATGGGCTGCTTAATCAAGCATTTAATGCAATCTGGATAAGCAGTGTTTTTATCGTGTGAGAATTTCTGTACAGGACAAACCTCATGTACTTTCCATAATAATACAGAAAGCAAGTTCTTTTCCTTGTCTAGCAGGTTAGCTGTAGCTATTATCAAAAGAGTGATAAATTAATGACAGCAACTAGCCCAAAAAGGAAATGAGGGAAAAAAACTTAATCTACTCATTTCTCCCTCTCTGACATAGATTTACATGGTGTTTTTATGGTAGACACTAGGTTCTGTTTACTTTTAAATTTAATTCTTAAAAGAAAGCTCATTTCTTAACATTCCTTAAAATGGAGGCATTCAGTCCTCGACTCTAAGATCGATTACACACATCAGATGAAAGGGGCAGGTAATTCCTTCATTCCTTGGGAAAGCTGTTCTAGCTGAAGGATTTCCGGGAGGTGTCATTCAAAAACACCTCAGAATTCCCTTTAGAAATACTGAGCCACTATTCCTGATCTTTCTCTGCAAGCTGCATAACAGCACAAGAAAAGCTCTATAAGGACAAACCACGAATCCATCTAGTCCGTGATCTAGTTGGTGCCTGTGGTGCTGAGGACTGAAAGGGGATTTCCCTTGCACACCCAGCAGGAATGAAGTGAGCTGTCCAAGGTGGAATAGAGGACTATCTTCCTCCCTGGGCACCTTGCTGGCAGGACTTTCCAGCTTTGACTCTCTTCTCTGCTTCTCCCAGCTGCTTCCCAGCTGAGCAGCAGAGATGGGTGGAAGGTTGCAGCTGGCCATCTGTCTTCTTTCACCAGTTGAAGCCACCATCTAGTTGAAGACGGTGCAGTCCAGGAGGGGCACCCTCAGTATACAGGCCCGTGGCACTCTTTCTCAAAGGAGACCAAACAAGTCCTGCCTTTGTCGTCCCTCCACTCGCAGACAAAGGCCTGGCTGTTCAGAAAGGACTTTGGCAAGTACCTGGTGGCCAACGAAGGGGTTCTCATAGGAACATATCCTTTTAAAAAACCTTTTAAAAAGTGTTCTAAAATTGTTTTATTCAGTTGTCAATATGCAATATGGCCACTGACCAGTGCAGGTTTTTTATTAATTATTTTTAATAAATGCTATGTAGATATACCAAATGGCAAGCAACCCACAAAGATTACATTAAATGCTTGATTATGAAGCCCACAAAGAATTAAATTAAAAATGAACTATAATGATAACTGTGTAGGGGACTCAGTGAAGTGCATACCACAACAGCTTATGCCAAATAAAACCTGCTAGTCTTGAAAGTGCCAAAATAGTTTCCCCCTTCATAAGTTACTTTTGAAACACAACTTCCCATTTCCCTCTAAATTTTTTGGGCATATATCAGAACTTCTTCATTGCATTAGTTGAGATTGCAGATTTTTATTTGCATTTTTTTTTTGTTCCAGTAAAATTTATTCTGTAAAAGCAAACTGGACATCCCTTTGCAGGTGGGATGGCTTTATGTGCTCACTAGCCATCAAAAAAAATCACTAGATTGAGGAATGAGTGCCAAGCCTTCCAATCTGTTCTCTACCAGCACTTTGGTTTTGCATCTAATCATGCTGGATATAACAGTAAGATTCATGAAGCTTGCTCCAGTCAAAGACAAATGTGCAGACTGGTCAATCTTTGGCAAAAGCATATTGTGAATGTAAATTAACAGGCTAGTGCCAATATATGTGCTATGTTGCATGAGTGGCCCCTAGTGGACAACAGCATGTTATTCCTTTTGAATACAAACGGAAGATATTTTTTGCATGAGAACCCCAAAAGGGAATGAGGTTCTCACACAGCCTTTCAAATAATGCTAACAGTCCATCATTATATAAAGGTCAAAAGGTCTGGCTTTATCTCAGCTTGCAGAGATACTGAATTCAATCCAATTTGTGCCCTTCTTTGAAACCAATGACCCATATTAGTGTTGACTAACTAGTTCTGTTCACTTCAGTGGGTCTATTTTAATTGGAATTAAATTGGATTCAGCTCAGAGTCACTGAATAGACACTGCTCGTCTCAGACTAAGTTGTGATGATGACACATATACACACACATTAAAAACAGAGCCATCATTTTTATCTTTATTTTTTTTTTTAAAAAAAATTCTAAAATAGCAACTGATTGAAAAGACACACGGACAACAAACAGATTTTTTTTTAATAACAAGAAGCACAATAATAGAATAATTATATGGTTATTCAAATGAACCCTTTGGATCTGAAATCATCTGCTTGTATACTGAATTTCTGTGTTACAACACAGAAAGGTATAGTACAATGAGTTCTGGTACTTCAGTGAAGACACAGGATTGTGTGGCATGGACACAGGGATAAAAGAGTCAACTGCTACACTGCTGGTACCTTTCCCGCTGGTGCTTCCAGGAGTCAGGGCACCAGATTACCAAGGCTTTGTCAACGTCTTCTCCCTGTCTTAATGCCCAAATTTTTACACTTTTGCAGCACCAATAATGTCAGAAGGGGACAGAGACATCACAAAGCACGTTAAAGGGGCAGGAGTATCATATACCCTGGCCCAATACCCTTTGGGTGAAGACGTTTACCAATTGGAAGCAACAAATATGAGTGCTATACTGCCAGACTAATAAAACTAGTGGTAAGCAGTACACAGATTCCTTCTTTCAGAGACCCTGCAACCTGTGAGCTCTTTGCACTAGCACTGTATATAAGAAGCTGGTTCAATTAATGCATTAATATGTGACATAGGTGGTGTTTAGCTTAGATAAACTTTTGCATGAAGATGTAAGAACCTGTTCTGACTCAGTACAAACACCACAGGAGGTGAGTCTGCCCCTCGGAAGAACCACTGTACTCTAAAGACTCCTAGCGGACATCTTCCCACCTGACCTTATCTAGCCATGATGGACCTCCTTCTTAGGCTCATTTTGACTTGGTATCAAATCAGTGGGTCATATCCCAAGCCTTGCTTTGAAACATACGTTTTAAATACTACAACTTGCAAAAGTGCCCCATCAGCATAACCATTGGTCAGATTATCTCAAGAGTGTACTGTAATCCAAAAAGGTAAACTTTTCAAGCTCTGATGTCAGATGCATGCACTAGACAGAAAAGCAACAGCATTTTCCCTGTGAAAAATTAGTCTTTTGTTGCTGAGAAAAAAATGGCACTTCCACACAGTAGACTTGCTAGCTGTGACATAGATGTTTACAGATCTTGCAAGGAGTAATGTGTGTGCTCATTTAGTGCATCAGGAAATGATTGTCTAGAATTGTCCTTGGATAGTACAAGTGTCAAGCCCATCTACAGTCTTTGTGCCATTTACTATGATAACAGCACCATTTGGGTGACATAGAAAGAGCCTACCTAAAGAGTGGAAAGCATTGTGAGTACATTCAGGTGTTCCCTTGGGCAACAGCATTGTTGTTGTCGTTTAGTCGTTAAGTTGTGTCCGACTCTTTGTGACCCCCATGGACCAGAGCATGCCAGGCCCTCCTGTCTTCCACTGTATGCAGGCAACAGCATACAGCTGGCTAATTCTTCAATTCCAGAAGTGTTGCAGCGCAAACTTTCTGATGAGCAAAATGACCCAATGGTCCTTTTAGGGCCACAAATGACAATTTTTAACATTAATTTGTTTTTAATTTTTACCTATATTTCATATGCATCCGTAATTTTAAATTGTGCAACACTCTGATATTAGTAAAGAGAAAGAGGGGATAATTTAATATTGTTTGTCCTTAAATGCTACCAAATCACTTCCAACTTACTTATGGTGACCCTTACAGGGTTCTCAAGGTTTTTGATACATTTATTGCCACACATATCCTACTGAGTTTTCATGTTCAAGCAACAACCTGAATCCAGGTCCAAACTCTATCCACTACACAACCCTGGCTCTCCTATTGCATACTGACTGAAATCCTGTTGCTTTGCATAAACCAAATTGTAAATTTCCATCTGTTCCTCCCAAAGTGCCCAGTCACAATTTTCGGTACATGTGTGCCACGTCAGCCCACATGTGTGTGCCTCCAACATTCAAAGCATGGGCAGTTTATTGGGGAGGAATGGACCAAAAATTATAATCAGGCTTATGCCAAGCGACAGGATTTTGAACAGTAGTTTCTCTCTTTTTTATACAGCCTGCCTTGAAGATTATGCATAGTCAGATTTCAAGGTTAAAATTCATGATCTGGACAAAGTCATGCCATGCATTTAAAGAAGGAAATTCTCTCAGTCTTTCAAATAATGTTTGTGCAGTAGCATTCACAATACTGTGGAAAACTTTTCCTTTTTGCTTCTTCACTTAAATTTAAGATACTTACAACATAATCATTATTCTCAATACTATATAGTATATAAAATTATGAGGTACCTGCTCAGATAGGCAACTGAATATGCATATTAATCAGAAGCTCTGCCAAGCAAGTAAAGCACATGGGAACCATTGTTTTAAACCCATTTTGGAAAACACAAGAGAAAGCATTATTCTTTTATTGTGCTTTAAACCACCTTCAGTTTAGTCGTAGCAATTTAAGAAGTAACTTTGTGGGCTGACCTTTTGATACTAATCCACAAAGCGAGGATCCATCCATGTCAGGTTCAGGTTGTGTCCCTGTGTACAGTGGGACATGTCTCTACAGCTGTGTGTGCACAGCTCAAAGCTTGGGAAATTTTTGGGAAGACAGCTCCAAGAATCAGCTTGGCCTGTGGGGTGTTTGTTTGTTTGTTAAGTTTTAGTTTTAGTCCAAAAAGTAACTTCCTCACACTCTAGTACACCGGCCTTTTTCAACAACACTAGGAAGTTATTTTATGCAGAAAAGTTCTGTGTTTTTCCATGAGCACTAGTATTTGACTTAAGCAGAGAGATGTGCACCTTCCACCAGCATTTTATTGCCTGGTTCCCATAAACTTCTCTTGAGTTTTCTTCATTGGTTAGAAGTAAGTTCTTCTCTGAAGGTAAAGTCTAACCTGAACCTCTGAATTTACCTTGTCTCCCCCAGTACAACAATCTCCATTGTACATCAAAAAGCAACATTAAACACATCGGTCTTGAAACAATACTCTATCGATAAGAGGAAATCCTTGACAATGTGACACCAAAGTAGAAATACACAAAAGCATCCATATGTACAGCCAACATTTTCATGAAATCAGTGGAGTTAGAAGTGATGTCTCCACCTTGTTAATTCTCTTTGCTACACAGTGCAATCCTGCTAAAAGGAGCGAATATCCTTATTTGAACAAAGGCCATGTTGGGATATGGCTCAGGTCCATCATTTCATCTAGACAGCATGAACACAGTATAATACTTGCTGTGGTTCTCCTTATCTGGACCGTTTCTCTACTGGCGATAGAACGCTGTAGTTCATAAATGGCCAGTTCTAGTCACAAGTCCATTTCTGATACTGCAGTTTCCTAACTAGCACCCTTCTTCTCCCATTCCTGCAAAAGAGAGAAAGAAGAACAATGTACAGTACACATAAGAGTTTGTCATGATTTGTTTTTAAAAAGCCATCAGCCACCATCCCCTAGCCTTGAGATGGAACTACTGCAGGCAGATGTAAAACAGGTATTCTGCCCAAATCCCTTACCTTAGCTTTCTGTAGAACTGTTCCTTTTGCTGTGACCATGATTGACAATGGCCGGTTTTTTAATGCCATTGCTGAATTGACAGGTGAGTTTTCTGTGCTATTCATAGGGTTGGCAGCTTTCATCTGTACTCATGGGAAAAGGAAGTAGTTGTGGTCAGACAGATTATATTGGTTATATACTAAAATAATCATACAGTTGCCATATATTTGATCAGTTGCGTGACTGGAGATCAGGAAGTGCTCCTTGCCTTGGCTTCTGGTAGTTGATGCTTTGTGATACTGAAAGGGCAGATTAAAGTCATACCTGAACTTTTGTTTTATAACTTTTAAATCTTTTTAAATAAACCTTTTATATTTTACCCAAGTGTGATTCTTGGGGACAAGGGTATGAGTGCCTAAGAAAAGTGCCTTAGCCACAAGGACTCTGTTTTCTATATTTGTTCTTTGGGTGCCCTACCTGGTAAGACTGGTGTGCAAGGTTTAAAGTACACAGCTAAAGAGTATTTAAACCCCAATAAGGGAGAAATTGGAAATCTAGGGTTAGATGCTTGCTCATATTTCCTCACTCACACACCTTCTATGTCTCAAAAACCTAGGAATAAAGGATGGTGGATGCTGGGAACTAGAGTCCTCTAATGGAAAGACCCCTGACACCAACTAACACAGCTATCTATTTGAAAACAGATTTAGCAAGATCACTGTTTCCTACATTTTCTTCACAACAGCTCTGTGAGGTAGGGGTGTTGTATGTGGGGGGGGAGAGGGAGAGGGAGGGAGGGAGAGAGAAGGCTACAAGTGAGCTCCTCGACAGAACAGGAACCTGAACGTGGATCTCTTGAATGCCAGTCCATTCGAGCCATTGCCTACACTGGCTTCGTTTGGATTTTAAACAGTGATATTGGGGGAAAGGGTGAAGTACCCTTTGCTTAGGGCTGATGTCTTGCAACAATTCAGCCGCCTCCTTGGCCTCTTTAAACTTCCCTTTTTAAAAAACAAAACAAAAACAACAGTGAGATCCAGTCACCTGATCTCATGTATCCTGGCATATAATTTGAAAAAGTTGCAGGTTTTCATTGGTTCTCTGTGCTAGAAAGGGTCCTATTGCTGCGGTTGTTTTGAACAGCATGCTAGGTACCTTGGGGCTTGCGTTCTCCAGGTGTGTGGTGTCCACAGCTGTCCCAAGGGTAACAGGACCAGATTCTGCTTTCCTGAGGTTCTCCTTCACTTCCACCAAGCTCAGCTCTAAGTCCACACGCTGGTCTTCCTTCCGCTTGCACTCCTCTTCTATTTCCTTCAGGTTTTGCTCCATGGTAGACAAAAGTCTCTTATCTGCACATGGGATTGCAAAGCTAGTAAGTGATGGGCATGGCACAGGGTACTTTGCGCCCCCTTTGAAGCAGGTGCTACCACTCTGGCTCTTGCCTTTAGGCTTTGAGTGACAAAAGGAACGTCTAGCTTCAAGGCCTAGAGAAATGTGAGCAAGATCAAGACTCCCAACACCAGCTTAAGAATCTGGATCTTTGAAACATTCCTCATTTTAAAGGCTACAACTCCCATTCTTCCACCACCCAGCATGGCCACCACTGGAAACTGGACCACAAAGAGAGAGACAGAAAAAAAGAATGAACTAAGGATTCTGCTTAGTTCTCATCCCACTGGCTCATGAAACACGACAGCACATCATGCTTGCAGAAATTGGCTCTTCCCAAGTGGAAATGAAAGGTGGGTTGCTCAGGATGTTTACCTGTGCAATTAGCCATCATCTCTTTCAGGTCCCTTTTTTCTTTCCGAAGCTGTGCCAGCTGAGAGCGGATTTCTTCTTTTTCCTTCTCCAAGCGATCTCTTTCCTCTGAGTACCTCTTCACCTCCGCCTCTGTCCGATTCTTGCCAAGTTTGGTTTCTACAGGTGCTGGAGACACAGAAGTGGGACAAGCTTGAGCATTGTGGCAGCTACACAACAGGACTGCAGGAAGCTCTCCATAGCATGGCAGCTCAATAAACTGGCAGAATGATTTTATTTAGAATGTCTTAGATGCATTGCAACTTTTATGTTATTTAGGGGATGGATGGAGGCACACATAGTTGTCCTGCTATTCATCCTTACCATAACATCAAGAGTGAGGTCAGGCTGAGAGAGCAGATGAAGGTTACCCATTAAGGTGCATGGCTGAATGGTTTGAACTGAATGGTAGGAACTCAGAGCACCTGTGTTGTAGCACATCATGGCAATCACTACATCACATTAGCTCTCACTTGTACAACATACGTGATCCTTCACCATCAGACTCTTGGCCAAAGAGATGTTATTGTGCCCGGTAAACCCACCTGTACTGATCACCTTGAAATGGTCTGTTTTGTCTTTAAGGGCAGCTATAATTTTAGTGGCAGTCTTAATCTCAGGGCCACTCTGAGGAAAGGCAATTTGCTGTTGCTGAGTCTGGATTTTTACTGTCGTTATCCGTGGTGGCAGCTGATCGTCTCCATCTGGAAGCCTCTGTTGGGGAAGCAGGATGAGAAAGACAATTCTAGAAATCAAGCAACAGTGAACGATTGAAACTCACTATCCACTTTCCACAGCACCCCTCTATTCCCCTGCTGACACAACAGCTGCCATATCACTGCAAGCAAAGTGTACAGTTGGTTTGGTGCTGTTGATGAATTACTGGGTGGGTCCCCAATGCAAGCCCTTGCCAAGCCCTAATTTAGGATTCAAACATCTGCCTTTTAACAACTGTCAGACAGTTTTTCCGCCTAACCTTTGTAGTACTATCTGCTTTGGCTAACAGTGGTTTCCTGGATCTCAGGCAGAGATCTTTCTCATCACCACCTACCAATCCTTTAAAGCAGATGTTTTGTCCAGTAACAGAGGCAGGACTTTTTGTAGCACATTATTAAAAACCAAAACAAGAACAAGGATGATCAGGACAACAGCAGTAACACAGCCATTCAGCCTATGCCAAACCCTTACTGTAACTGTTCCTCACTGCCACCTCCTGATCCTTTTTAGAGGATGCCTTCCCATTCCTGGTTATACTTCCAGCTGTCTTCAAAGAGACAATACATGCTGCACCAAAGATGTCAGGGACCGAACCTGGAACTTTCTGGGCGCCAAGCATGTGCTCTCGCATTTGCTTCTGTGCCATACCTGGTCTAGCATGTCCAAGGACTTTGTGTTCAGATCTCCTTCTTTATGCAGTATGGGTCCATCATTCTCAGAGTCAGCTGAGCCTTTACTAATGGATTCTTGTAAAGATGGAGAAACCGAAGGGGTCGGTTGATCCTGCGTCTTGCCACCGGAATGCAGGAAGGAATCAATTGGTGTGAGGTCAAGATAGACTCTGTCCTGTTCCCCTTTGCATTTGCTTTCATTCTGGGGTGCCTCATCCTGAGAAAGATTAATCACACCTTCTTTTAGGAACTCCAAACCAGAATGTTCTGAATGAGCCTCATTCACCAATAAGAATTCAAAATTCTCACATATTATTAGATAGTAATGACACTACAAATGTTACTATGGCAATGGATCTAAAATTAGCATTTCAGCATTAATTATTAAAACAATTGCCTAGAGCAGATAGAAGAAAGTTGCTTTTTAGATGTCAATTCTCAGAATATACAGGCTAGCATGGTCAGTAGCCAGTCTGACCTGTGTATTCTAGATGTTTTGGCCCCATCTCTATGCCTAACAGCAAGAAAGGGTATGAAAATGAAACAGGACACATTTTGAACATACACTCTTTTTTTAACTTTTAAAAAGCTATTTTTAAATAAAACAATATCTATGTAAGTAGTGTTTCCTGGGAAACAAAATGGCCTCCTCTATAAAACCCTCACCATTGTTGCATCTGGAACATCCACATCATCATAAAGTTCTTCTTCCTCCTTTCCCTTTGGCAAATTGTCGATATATGTGTTGGGCTCAGAGAATTTCCTTTGCATTAAACTGAAAAAGATGAAAATGCATATGCTGTCAAAAGATGCATGCGATGATGCTGTCATCCTAGACTACAATCCTCTAAATGCTTTTCATGTGTCATTCATTACCCTCAGCTATCGGAAATGTCATGGCATTTACTGTTCCTGACTACTGTTTTCTATCTAATGTCCACAAGTATGCCGTGTAACAAAGAAGCCATGCTCTAAATCCTGCCAACGCTTTTCACATTTCTATTTACTTGCCTACCTGTACCCAACCTTTTTAAATAAGTGGGTCAATGACATTCTCTAACCCCATGCCCTATTTCTTGTGAGCAAAAGTTGAAGTCTTCAAAGTAGCAGGGATACAGTAGAGTAGTGGTCCCCATTTTGTAACCATGCAAGGTATCAAGATGGGGGTGGGGCTTGGTCCTTAATGGGACGTTATAATTTGTTTTACAAATTAGCAGCTCCACTGAGCAGATGGTCCAAGGCTGGGGTCCACTGCAGTAGAGTATAATGAACTTTCCAAGGACTTATACATTGTTGTGAACCATTTTGTAACCATGCAAGGTATCAAGATGGGGGTGGGGCTTGGTCCTTAATGGGACGTTATAATTTGTTTTACAAATTAGCAGCTCCACTGAGCAGATGAAAGATGATGGGACTCATTTATTGATGTGGGTCAACCTGTCAACATTCTTGGACTCTCCCTGAGAGCATGTTTGGGGATTTCACCATCACGAGTTGCTGCAAATCAGAATTTATCACAGCAACCATATTGGTTAATGTTGTCTATAACTAAAATCTTCTCTTTCAGAAGAAAATATTCATATGCATTTCTAGCAGTTGGATCACAAGGGATGTTGGTACAGCAAACACATTGTACCAGCTTGTATATTAGTTATTCCAAATTCAGCAAAAGCCCCAATATGCAATCCAAATTCATTGCAGCCCTTGGAAAAGTTACTGTTTCGGATGACAACTCCAAGGATTCTGGAAGGTTGTTCGAAAAATAATTATTTACCCTTGCTTTTGTTTATAACACCCAAGAACTGCTGAAATCACTCACTCGGTTTTGAGCAGCAAAATATTAAGACAGGAGAAAGGTATTTGTGATGGCTTCAGAGATGGGATATTCTCTGCTAATCTTTTTTTTTTTTTTTTTTTAATTTATCACAGCAACCATATTGGTTAATGTTGTCTATAACTAAAATCTTCTCTTTCAGAAGAAAATATTCATATGCATTTCTAGCAGTTGGATCACAAGGGATGTTGGTACAGCAAACACATTGTACCAGCTTGTATATTAGTTATTCCAAATTCAGCAAAAGCCCCAATATGCAATCCAAATTCATTGCAGCCCTTGGAAAAGTTACTGTTTCGGATGACAACTCCAAGGATTCTGGAAGGTTGGTAATTAACTCAAGGAAAGGAGTCTGGATCTCAAATTTGCTACCCAAGTCACTTACAGTAATGAATTCTTTGCTGCACTGACAATGCAGGAAACCCTGTCAGCATCAACGTAATCATAGGTGAGTTCTTCAGGGTCTGTTCTGGAGCCAGATTCTGACAGAAGGAGGGTATTTGTATCCATAATTAATGTTGTGTCTTGGTTTTAAAGTAGGGGAAAATGCGATCCACTTTAAGATCATAATGGTACACAGGTTTAAAATGTAGAACTTATACAGTAAATAAAGAGAACAGAATTTGTCCGCTGTTGACCAGGAGGGATTAACACTCACGCTGACATCAAGATCTTAAGCTGGTGGAGAAATGTGGGGAACAAAGCAAGACATTATGTTTCACCCACATAATTTTTCTGCAAACTAAAACTGTGGTCAATAAAAAAGTTAGTTCCTCGACCAAACATTAATTTGCATGTCAGGAGAGACTGTAATTACTAACACTGTTTTGTTAAAGTCACTGCCATCTCAGGCAGCTAGTATTTCATCTGAATGCACCTCATATGGTAGATATTTATATATTATATAGTGAAGCCAACTCTCCTCTGTTTGCTTCTTTTTGCTACTAATTATAATTCAGTCAAATTGTTCATTTACCCTTTCCCAGGAAATGCGTTCCCCCCCCCCCATCAGAGTCAATCACTACTGGTAATTAACTCAAGGAAAGGGGTCTGGATCTCAAATTTGCTACCCAAGTCACTTACAGTAATGAATTCTTTGCTGCACTGACAATGCAGGAAACCCTGTCAGCATCAACGTAATCATAGGTGAGTTCTTCAGGGTCTGTTCTGGAGCCAGATTCTGACAGAAGGAGGCCAAGCCAGTGACCCATTTCTTCACCAGACTTAGTAATTAACTCAAGGAAAGGAGTCTGGATCTCAAATTTGCTACCCAAGTCACTTACAGTAATGAATTCTTTGCTGCACTGACAATGCAGGAAACCCTGTCAGCATCAACGTAATCATAGGTGAGTTCTTCAGGGTCTGTTCTGGAGCCAGATTCTGACAGAAGGAGGCCAAGCCAGTGACCCATTTCTTCACCAGACTTAGCCTACAAAATAACCAAAAATGTCAAAGAAAACATCAGTCATCACTGCTGCAGGTCATATTTATCACAAGGGACTTCGAAAGATTTCAATCTGGAAAACGGGCTGGATCCAAATTTTTTGACAGAAATGGCAGGAGGATGGAGATATTTCTCCCCTCTTGTTCTGGGTTCCAGCAGCCCTTTCAAATCCAGAGCTAGCCCAGGATATTTTACTGGCTTAGGGATAACAACAAACAGCAGCCTGATCTTGATGCATGGAAGCACATCACATCAAGGCAAGGCAACAACTCACCTATGGCTAGTTTTTTTGACAGCCAAAAGAGGGGGGGAAATCACATTATCCCTCCGTAGTAATAGATATACCACAATGCTAAATCTAAACGTTTGCTGCCCTTTCACAAAACTCCAAATTGACTGCCTGAAAACAGTCACCTCACACTGGCTAATGGCATGGCTTGTCCTGTCCAAGAGCTAGAGAATCCTGAAGCATGGAGTGGGCTGTGGAGTATGTGGCTGAGGAGGAAAGATGGACTCCCCAAATTGTATGGAGGCAGCTTGAATGAATGGAAGCAGGGAAGCCTATAAGGAGAGTCATCATTGGCCCAGCCGCTTCCATTGATGCTTCTTTGGATCCAACCTGGAGCATGTAGAATGTCTGGAAAGGGATCCAGTGTGAGCTGTATTTAAGATTCAACTTGCCATAATGTGTAGAACCATTTCAATTTTTGGAAAACTGAGTTTCCTCTCTGTCAAGGCTTAATTTGTCTTGCAAGAGTAAGCGACAGCTTGATGATGGTGGGATGGGTGGGGAACCAGAAGAACTATGCTTCAGTGAGGCAGAGCTTCAAGTAAACATCAGTCATTTCACTTTTTTGGGCATGCCAGAAAAATGCACCAAGTAGACTTTCTAACTTCCGTCACTAGATGTGCCCCAAAAGTAACTGCTATAAAACTATGGTGGGGAAGGAGAGCACCTTGCAGGTAAATACCCTGAAGGAACCCATGGAAATTTATTTCAAAAGTTGTAGCTGGCCTGAATTGCAATGCTGAACTTAAATTCACCTTACTTGAATCAGTTTTTAGAATTGTCTTTAATTTTGGTTGCCAACAACCTCAGTGCTCCATCAGCTCAACAAAACAACATTCAGAGTCTCTGGCAGTCTGTGGGAAGCCTGTTCTTGGCTGCATATAGTTCTCCCACTACAAAAAGCAGGAAGTCTGTCACATTTTCCTACTACTCCTCTTGTGGTGGTGATGTCAGAGGAACCAAGATTAGAGGTAAACAGAAAAGGAAAACAACTTTGATTCAAGGCAAGTGAAAGGAATGGACATGAGCAACCTGCTCCTCTTTTGTCTCAGCTTTTCAACAGCTGCAAATTGAAGGTAATACACCACTGAAATTATGTTGATAATTTTAAAATGAAAGATATATTTTTCTTTTCAATGGAGTAAAACTATTACTTTATCACCGGTTGGCACCTGTCAGTCTGTTGAGTGCAGTAGAGCGAGGTGTTTCTACAAAGGCAGAGTAAGAGCATTTTTAAAAAAAAATTATTGTATAATAAACTGGCAGGTTCAAGGTTCATGGCTTCCTTGCACAGCACTTTGCATGTATTGGGATTATTTAATTTTCTGAGATGAAGCTGTGGCAGGGAACCACATTGGTGGAAGCACTAAAAAAATTATTGTATAATAAACGGCCAGGTTCAAGGCTCATGGCTTCCTTGCACAGCACTTTGCATGCATTGGGACTATTTAATTTTCTGAGATGAAGCCGTGGCAGGAAGCATTGAGTGAACAAGGAGGCTGCATCCACACCAATAAGCTGTGAACTGTCTTGCAGAGTAGGGAGCCTATGGCCACGGCCTGGAAGCCACATGTGATTCTTGGCTGGATTTCAGGACACACACTCCCAGAGTGATCAGAATCTCCATTTCCTTTCCTCCTCTGGCCCTGGGTCCTGCCTGTCCTGTTGCTCTCATGATATCATCAGTCTCTTCCTGTGTGATCTGCTCCTAATATTTTAGTTTCTTTTTCCTTTTTTGAGTGAGCATTTTGCTGGGTTTGGGGTTTTTTTTTTGAGAGAGAGAGAGAGAGAACGGCAGCTCAACATGGGATAGCAGTGAGAGCATCCAAAATATTTAAAAGAAGCAAGCATTCAGCATGTTTTTTTTTAAATACTCCACTCAAGGGTTGGAAAAAAAAGGGGAGAACTAAAAAAGGCACAATAGAAGGAGATAGAAGAAATCCTTTGCAAGGTGTTCATCAGCTGCATTTGTTCTGAATTGCCTGACTCACGTTCTGAACTGTAAAACTGCCCTCCTCACAGATCTGACTAGAAGCAAGTTAGAAAAGTTACTTTTTAAAATGTTACTTAAAAAAAAAAATTATATATAGCTCAATGTGAACTCCCTCAAAACTAATGAGTCAGATTTAATGTAGCCAAAGACATATTTATTTATTGTATTTGTGCTTTATTACATCTTGGTTGCTTTTGTTTTATTTTGTTTTATTTTGTCATATCAAGTATGTCTTTTTTTCTTATTTAGTTGTTGTATCTGCTTAAGTATGCAAATCTCCGGGAATAGTATTTCACTAAGTCAGGTGATCAATCAATCAATCAATCAATCAATCAATCAATCAATCAATCAATCAATCAATCAATCAATCAATCAATCAATCAATCAATCAATCAATCAATCAATCTCTTCTTCTCATTCCTTCTGGGAGGAGACATCAAAAAAGTAAGGGGCTAAAATTTGGAAAAAAAGCCAAATCTCATAATGTCCCCAAAATGAACCTAAAAAAATACAGAGAGAGAAAGAGTGAGATAGATTTATTATATAGAAAGTAATCATGCTACCAATCATTAATTTGTTTGTAAAAGGAAAGTCATTGTGCACTTCTAACTTCAAGTGCCTCATAATTACAAAAGAACTGTTACAGGCAATGTTGTTACTTGTGCGTTACTTCCAAGCTCTAGGCTAGCAAGAGTGTGCACTTCAGCCAAACAGAGAAACAGAACTAGCCCTACTCAACCAATAAAGATCACAGCCAAACATTCCTACCTGTTTATAAGCAGGTTAATCTCAGAAGCAGATTTATTAAGTGAGAAAGAGAAAGGAAAAAAGGGGATCCAGAAAGAGTGAGTGAGGGAGCCCTCACCAATTGCTCTGACCCGGTCCCGCATGTATTACTTCTGGAAGAATAAGCCCTCAGATCTAAAAAAAAAGGTTCTATGTCCCATTTTGTTAGATGTAGAACATAAATTCTTTTATTGTTATTCTGCTGTATCTTAAGCTGGTTTGCTTACAACATTGCTATTTGTTTTTTCAATTACTGTTGTCATTTTGTTTCTGTATGCTGCTTCAAAGAGAGATCTTAGAAATTTTAGAAACAAATCAACAAAACAAAAACATTTCCTTCTATTAAAAAAAATATCTCTGCATTACATTTGCACGCAGCTCAATAAAAACAGCTTCAGGGACAGGCTACACTCAAGGAAAATCTGTTGTCAAGACCGACCTGATGAATGGTGTGTGTTATAGCCAGAGTTAGATAAAGTTAGTTTCTTGGCACAACAATTCACAGAACACCCCAGCTGAGAGCTATTGTCCAAAATCATAACCTGTTCAAACTCTGAATAAGATAGTACATTGAGCAATGATGTTGCATGCAACTATCTTCTAAAAAGAGGGATTACCCATACCTCCAGCATGGCCCGTTCTTCGCCGTTCTGCAGGATACGGAACGAGTAGAGATGGTCAGGACTTGGGTCTGGGACAACTTCACAGCCCAACAAGTTCAGAGGCTGCTGAGCAGTTTTGCTTCTGTTCTTATCCTGATAGAAATGGAGCTGCCCATCTTTCACATAGCACCACCGGGATCTCCACTGGCTATTGACTAGTACATTCAGGTATGCTGTAAATAAGGATAAGTTTGCTTAGGAGCATTCCCATCCTCCCGGGACCTGAGACTCTTGTAAAAGTGTTTCTTTTGATAGCTTCTGCCATCTGATCTAGTTTCGATTAATGACAAGAAAGTTCTACCCATATACAGCAGACTCATGGATAAAAAAAACATGAAGAATGTGATCCAGCTTCTGATAAAAAGGGGCATTCAAATATATATATATGTTATCAAAAGGTGGTCCAAATCTGACATTTGAATAGATTTTGAGCAGGAAATATGGAAGTTTATTGATGAAAAATTCTTTGAAATTCTACAACTGAGAATTCAGTACATTATTCATTCGCTTTCTTTTTGGGGGAAAAGAGAAAGGTTACACAGCAGCCTTCTTAGTACTTCTTAATATTTTTGTAGTCTCAAAGGCTAGACTGGTGCTCCACCTCTGGGTTATTAGTGGGCTTATAGACTGAGGAGAGGGAACACTCCACCCCATTTCAGGGTGAGACCTACACGTACTGCTTGGCCCACATGCTGACAGATTCTGAAACATCCTCCATGTTTCTAGTGGGAGGGATCAAAACAAAACACGTTTCTTAGGGATTTCTTTTAGGTCACTTACTACAAGTTTCCAAAGATCTCTCAGGACTGTCGAGTGAGGCAGATTTCTTTCTCCCAAGATTCATCAGGTTGCTCAGCTTTAAACCAGATGTGCCTTTCTTCTTAGCTAAGAGAGCAAAGGAGAGAACAAGAAGAGAGAGGAAGAGAAATAAATAAACTCGTACATATCAGGCACGTGCCGAACTGTTCTACTAAGTATCTGAAAACAATGGTCAGCAGTAGAGGTGGACAGGAACCCCTGCATCAGCGGTTCATCCCAGTTTGCTTCCCACTGCAACAGGGGTTTGGCGGTTTGGTGCCCTGCCCCCTTTGGTGGGCACCCACTCAGAAGCAGCATCCTGGCTTCCTCCAAGCACTGCCTCAGAGTGGGCACCTGCTGGAAGGGGTGTGGTGCTGAACCACAGAAACCTGTTGCAGTGGGAAACAAGCCTGGATGGACTGCCAAACCAGCAGTTTGCACCCTGCTCTAATCAGCAGGCACATCAGAAATAATTTTTAATTTAATTAGTGAACTACATAATCAGAAAGATTAATACTGGCCATTTGCATAACTTCAACAAAGTATGAATTAATGTGGCATTCTTAAAAAAATATATTGCACTAAACATGGACTTGGTTGTCCATAGGCCTTCACCAGCTAAGGGGCTAGGCATAGATGCCTTCCTGTAACTCACGAGAAAACCAAGAAAGGGGACTTTATTTTTCCACCAACAGATATTTGCTTCTGTGATGCTGGCTCAGTTAGAGAGTGGCAATGATCAAGTATGGTAACTTCAGAGAATGTTGTTTAGAGATGGGAAAAGTATATAAGACTGTGGGGTGGGGGAGGTTCTTGAAAGGTTCCACCACCTATTGAATTAGTTCATAGTCATGGATCAAAATGGGACTTTCTTGTCCTTTCACTTTCTAACCCATGCCTATGACATCCACCCACCTATGCAAGCAAAACAAAAAAGGCATTACTGCAAGGCTGGTGGGGGAGGAGTAACCAGTGTCACTGTTTCTAGGGAGGTAGGCAAATCTCTTGTGATCATTCTAAACAAACCCAGAAATGTCATTTCCTGTTGGGATTCAGTGCTTTACTATTTTCTCTAGCTGAGGAAACTACAAAGCCCTAGCAAAAAAATAATGCCTCTGAGTTTAGAAGAATCATTTCACCTGGTGTTTGGCAGGCCTACTTCCTGCTCACACAGCTAAGAGGAGGTCTCTCTGATTAACTTCCCATCCCCATTTCACAAAAGTAAGAATTTTGTTTTGCTTGCACAAAGTAGCAAAGGTATCTATGCCATGTAGGATTTGTAGAAATTCCTTCACAAGGATTTGCAAAAACCACTCGTGGTCTTCCAGGTCCTCGCAGCAAATGCTTATAAAAGTCCAGATGATTTCTGAGGCAAATAGTGGTTATTCACCAGTCCCTAATGTGGCTACCTTTTTTCAAATCAAAGATTCTGTTTTGCTTTCCATTAAATCTTTACCTCCTATTGTTAGCTCTCAAATTTATTCTCGGGGTAAATTCCCAAGATGTTTAAGAGTCTGTATGCAATGTTATGCTATGGTGCTCCTCTAATGTCCTGCCAAATGCTTAGGAGATCCTTACTACACGTATTCATGTGGTCAAAAATCTAGGTGAATGGATGCAGCCCTGCAGCTTCTAATGCATTAGACACAGACTGATCTGAAGTTCTCACACTCTTAAGCTTCATTGATTTTAGTGGAATTTCGTGGTTGTGGGACGTTGTCAGTTGTGTGTGTGCATCAAGTCACATCTGACTTATAGTGCCCCTAATAGGGTTTTGATATTTAAAGAGCGGTTTTACCAGTGACACCTTCTCAGTGAGTTTCCATAACCAAGCTGGGATTCCTACCCAGGTCTTCTGGGTCCTAGTCCCTCACTCTATTCATGACACAGGAGTGGGTGCCTCTGTGGGACTTTGTTCTTGGTGAATATATGCAGGAGTCTAGACTAAGAGTGAATTTCTGCTGTTGCTGGTCAGTAGGGACAGGATTTCTTTGACATGCCACATTTTTTTCTGCAATCTGTGTTTGAGCCCATGGGTGGGTGGGTTTGAACATGTTTATGAGGAGTCTGGTGAGAAAGGTTAGATTACTCATAAACATGTCCAAACTTGCCTATGGGTGCAAATGTAGGTTGCAGAGAAAATGTGAAATGTCATAGAAATCCTCCCCCAACTGATCAGAGTGACAAAGTTCCCACTCAGAAATGGTTGGGGGAATTCTGGAAATCGTGATCCAGAAACAATAAAAAGACATTTCTCCTTCATTTAAAAAATGGACAAGAGAAACCAACGTCCCTATCTTTGCCTCTCAGTGTCAGATCAGATGCTATGCAGCAATTCCAGTGGGGGAAGGGACATCTCTCCCTCTGGTACTCAAGAAAACCAGTGCCGATCAAAGTAGATACTCTTGGACTACATGGACAAGAAGTGTAGCCTGGCATAGGGCAGCTTCATACTTTCCAAACATACTGTTTATTAAAGCACCTCTTCATTCCTGGTATGTGACTATACACATATCAAGGCAGTTTATTTCATTATTAATTCAAAGAAAATGTAACATAAGGCAGTGATATACAGTAGTTTCACTATACAAAAAGCAAAATCCTATAGGCATAAATTTATGCTGGTGTAATCCGGACCAAGAATTAGAAATATTTAATTTAAACTAATGGAAATCTTCCTATCCTCCATCCCCAATTTCAGGTCCAAGGCTCCCAATGACTGCCTTTTGCCCTGTGGAAGTCTTTTGGAGCCTCAGGAGCAGGGGAGGGGGAGCTTTTAATAGTAAAAAATTACCACTGGATTACTGTCACCAGGATTGAGACTGCTGTCAATCATCTGGCAGTGATTTTTGACTATTAAAGTCTCCCCCCCCCCGCTCCCCAGTTCTGAAGCTCCCAAAGGTTTCCCCAGAGCAAAAGGGAGCCCTAGGGAGGGTCGAAACCTGAAAGGGGGGGTAGAACAGGAAGCTTTTCATTATTACATATTAAGTATTTCTGGTGCCTGATCTGTGTTACACCAGTGTAAATTTACACCAACAAGTCTGTGCTTGGGAAACACAATGAACCTCAAAGAAGTCCTAGCCGTTTCAGTACCAATCTGAAAGCTTTCTTTGACTGTCAGAGACAAGTGCTTTAATTCTTTTCCACTTGTCTCTTCACACTCATATTTCCTTCTTAAACCATTACCATCTTTAGTTTCTGTTAGTTCCATGTGACTATCAGTACTGCTTCCACTTTCTGATGCTACCACGTATCTCTCAGATGGCTCCGCCTGCAAAAAAGAGAGATAGGATGGAACCAAGGACACTGCTGCAATAAAGTATTATCTAGATTACACCTGTGGCCTTATCATATATTCCTCAATTCCATTTCTGAACTCTATAATTCATGAAAATTTACATTTGTATCCATAAAGGCATTTCCATTGCAACTTATTGTTTGCCCTTTAAAAATTCTATCTAGAAATGTATTCAAACCATCCACCTTCCAGAACGGTTGCTCTTTCATTTGCGTTTCGGCAAGACTAAGTTTATACAGTCTCTCTAAAACCAGATTTCTCTTGAGACAAACTTACTGGAAAAAATAGGTGGCTACAAATGACACGTAGAGTTTAAAGAATGGTAAAGAAGTTTGATGTTCTGCCAGTTGTGCTGCTCTCAGCAAACAAGAGCTGGCTTTTCTTCATATATTATGTTTCAGCCATTTTCCTATCTTGAGGATGGGAGTTACTTCCCTGTATAATCAGATTTAGGTTAAAAAACAGAATAATATGATGCAACTGAAACTTTTTTAAAGCTGCTCTTTCAATGTCACCTCCCTAAAGAGATGAGACGTACTTTCGGATAACTGAGCCGCTGAGAATCTGGAACATACTGGTTTCCTTCACACAGCCCATCTGGGTACACACCACTCGTTTCCTGGATTACCTGTGGGGGGGAAAGAAGCAAGCTGTAAGCAGTGCCTTGTCCCATGGCCATTTCTGTCCTTTCCTTTCTCTTGATCTGCATTGTAAGCTTGTCTTGGTTAATCTGCACAAAGGTTGCATTCCTTCAAAAAGCTCCAGCAAATAAAGGAGCCTAGAGCAATGATACCGATAATGCCAGCGTGGTCGGATCCAATGCCATCCTGAGCAAATGAATGATAGCTTCATATACAACAAGCCATATGCACTCCGGCAGATGTCAAGAAGTAGAAAATGCTACTCATGCAACATAGGATTGCCAACTCTTCTCCTCCTTTTAAAAACATTTTCCTTTTTGGCTATTAGTGGATAGTAAAAACATTATTAATCTCGATGCAATAAAATAACTTTTTTATTTCTGCAGATCAAGCAGCTAGTAAAAGCACCCAGTTTTTGGTTAGTCAAGTACCAAATCAACGTAAAAGAGTGAATGATTAAATGCTGCTTGACTCTTTAAATTAGAAGAATTGCCCCAGTGCTCTGTCCCTACCTCCTATCATGCATTTTATTACAGAAATGGGAAGCTTCCACACTGTTGCCCAGAAATGGCCTGCAGGGTTTCCCCATCCAGTTCTCCGACCTCTTCCCAAGGATGCTGCTGCCCATCCTCCACAGGCAAAAGCATCAGCAGATGATCAAACATAACACATTTGGGGGTGGAGCTAATCTCTAATCAGAAGCAGCCAAACAGCAAGAAGCTTCTCTCATAAATGGGCAGGAAAAATACTTGCTCCAATTACATTTTAAAATACTCAGGAACAGATTGTTTTCCCAGCTTCTAAATTCAATCTATCAGGTCCAGTTAAGGGTTCAAACCATTAGCCAAAATGTTTGCTACATCATTAATGTTCACAGAACTCCCTATTGCAGCCAGATCCACTATGGGAGAAAAATAAGGATATTTTACAAAAAGAGTTACAGAGAAGTTCAGATGTTTTAGGTCTCTTAATCCTATCTGAAACTAACTATGGAAAGTGAACTTTTCCATCTGGACCATTTTCTCATTCCTTCCCATGTTCCACAAGCATATCTTCCCTTGCTATAGAATTTACATCTAAATTGGCATAGGCATCCTTCAGTCTCGAGAGACTATGGTAACATGCTCTGAATCGAGGAGTGTCCTTTCCAGAGCATGAAGCCCCGGGTAAGGTAATATGGAGGATAGGCTGTTACCCAAGCAGCAGATCCCCCCTCTCCACATTGCTGAAATGGTCCAATGGAAAGGCAAGAGCCAATACAACTGGTTCCAGCAATGTCACAGGAGTTGGCAGAACGACAAGAACTGCCTTCGGGACTCCAGCTCCGGATTTTGCCTTGAGGTTAACTCCCGAAGCCTTTTCCATGAGTGGATATAGCCACAAGGCAGTGGAGGTTTGAAATCGGAGTTTTCCTTCTCCTAGATGGACCTTATTTTAAATGTTATTTTCATGAATGTCACCAATTAACTTTAAAGTGTGAAATACTTAACACATCTAAAATTACTGTTGCATCCAAATATGAATGAGCAAAATATATTAACACCACTTTTAATGTTGCATGCTTATGTGCTACTTTGCATGTGCAGCTTGTATACTGCCCACCTCATATACTAGAGGAAAATGAGAACCAAAAATTGCATGCAAATACATTTCTCTATGAATTACCAGTGAGAAGTAGTAAAATAGTGTCAAACTTCCTGTATGGTCCTATTCTAGTTTGTCATATATTTATATGACAAACATGAAACAGTCTCTATATATTTGTTTGTGAAGTTTGCCTTTTAAATCCAGCAAGACAATATGGGGTGTTTGCTATGGTCTTGCTGAAGAAAAGCTCCCTTCACTATTGCTTGAAAAGGTCAGTATTCTGAAGTTCCCCCTCATCCTCCCACATTTGCAAAGAGTGAAAGAGACTTTCTTGGATATGCTGCTGTATTAGTAATAAAATGCAAACAAGCACAAAGCCCAGCCAATTAAACTCCAGAAGGAAAGAGAATCTGTCTGTACTAACAGGTATATAAGGATGAAGGCAGAGGGAAGTTCTGTAAAACAAAGTGAAGGCCTTCTTTGGCTTCTGAATCAAGGTTTTTACTGGACCATTCATGGAGGATCAGATGGCCTGCATCCTCCCTCCTTCCATTTACAGACCCTTTGCCCCATCTGCAAGTAGACCAGAAGAGCTCATGTGAATGGAAGAACTCATGGAAGAATGGAAGAACCCGTTCTGCTAGGTTGGATACAGTCCAGGCAGTCCAAAGCCATGGGAGAGGAAGACAGAGAAAAGAAGGATGCAGCCCTTGGTCCTCCTGACAATGAGCACAGATGGATGCCAAAGTTTTAAAGACACCCCACACAATTAAATCAAACCTTCTCCTCCAGCACTGTTTGTTCTCTCCCCACCTAGGGAAGAAATCACAACTCCCTGAGACTTCAGTTTGCACTGAAGTTTGCATTCATGATTTATCCTGAGGAGGAAAAGTGCTGTGTACAAAATAGGCGTATCTTGCATGATTTGCCCCTGAGAAGTGGGAGCCAAGAACTAAATTTAAGATCAACAGTAGAGCCTCTTCTCCAAGTATCCTGGGCAGCAGCTTCACAGTGGTGGCATTTCCACTTTACAATTCTTTCCATGTGGTGCCAGAATTCCAATTGTTTCATCAAAACCTCTTAGGTTACCAAATGACAGATCTGGTCTGTTTTAAAGTTCCTGTTACTTGTCTCTTTTTTTTGGAAAGGATTGACAAAAACTTGTTCAAATTAGATTTTATTGCTTTAACACTGTTCTGGGATTGGAAAGAATGAAGGGCAGTCTTAAAATGTTTTAACAAACAAACAAAGCTAGCACCTACTCTTGTCTTCATTCACTTCCTCCTGGATTTATCTATGACACTAGCCAGAATCATGTGGTGATTCCGGAACTCTTCTGAAGCTTCCCAAGCCTCAAAAGAGTCCCGGGAGGTGCCGATTTCGCCCCCACTGTCCCGGTGGGGGGGAGCCTCCCAAGAGTCCAAATCTGCTTTCCAGGAACCTTGGGAGGCTCCTCCCACCCCCACGGGGCCAGTGGGGGCAAAATCGCCACCTTCAGGGTCTCTTCTGAAGCTTCCCCAGCCTCAAAAGAGTCCCGGGAGGTGCCGATTTCGCCCCCACTGTCCCGGTGGGGGGGAGCCTCCCAAGGGGTCTGGAAGGCAGACTCGGACCCTTGGGAGACTCCCCCTACGCCCCCACAGGGCCAGTGGCAACAAAATTGCCAGCTTCGCTCCATAAAATGCACAGATTTCCCCCCACTCTTTTTGAGGGGGAGAAAAATACGGTATTTTAATTCATATGTTCTGAATATGAATTAGTCAAACTCTGGATTGTGATCAACCTTTGGTACCATGTTATTATTGGGGCAGATGAAAATTCATATGGTCTGAAGATACACACAAATCTTGAAGAGGTCACTGTGAGAAACAGGTCTACTCACTCTGAGCCACTGTTCTGCCTGGTCCTTACTCTGCAAGCCCAGCACAATGACATCTGCATTCAGTGGGATGATCTTTAGTTTATGTTCCTGCTTCCTCACATTCTTCTCTTTGTGGATGACACTGCAGCCCACCAGATTAACATCCAACTGGGGACTGTGGTCCTTGGAAGTCTTGTAGCACTAGGAAGCGAATCAGTAAAGTACTTAATTAAAAAAAGGTTGTTGACTAACAGAAAGCTCGGAAAAGTCTCTTGTTTTGGACTGCTGCTCCCACAATCTCTGAAATGGGGGGATTTTTTGGGTGGGTTATGGACCAAAAAGCAATTTTGTCAAGGTCTGCTAATATCAAAGTGTCTAAAGAGACATATTTGATTTGATGTCATGGATTATAACTTTTTAAATTCAAAACATGGCAGATGTAGCTGAAGAAGCTGTAAGATCATGGTCCCAGCAATTATGCATCCCCTATCATATATCTCTTCCATATGGATACAGATGTCCAAGCACACATTTTTACATTACCTCTGCACACAAATCTTGAATGTACCAGATGGGAAAAGGGCAGGATGGGAGCTATTTTCCTATTCTGTTACAGACAAAACATATAGGTTCCTTCTTGTATAGGATATGTATCAGTTCCTTTGCACTAGCTGCTGCTTTGCAAAGAATTCTGGTTTCCTATGTTTTTGCTGAACACTGCTGCTCTACTGTTTTGATGTTGCCTTCATGCATTGCCAGGGCACTTCCTTAAGGCATCTGACTGACCACTGTGGGATGCAGGGTACAGAACCAAATAGTTCAGAAACACAAGAAACACTGGGTCTCCTAAATGTCTCCAAGCCTAGAGATACACCTTGGATTCAGCACAGCTCTTCTGGTGTTGTGTTGTTAACAACTAGAGCTCTGAGGAACTGATCCCTTTTCCAGGAGGAAAGCAAATCCATTTATGAAGAAAATGCATAAATTTCTTTTATTTAGAAAAAGATTATTTATTGATTTATTTATTCCATTTATACCCCGGACTGCTCCCTTTTCCAGGAGGAAAGCAAATTCATTTATGAAGAAAACGCATACATTTCTTTTATTTAGAAAAATATTAGTTTTAACTCTTACCAACAACCTGCTGTCCTTAATCACACACAGCTGCTTGGCCCACTGGCCCAGCCACTTCTTCCGCCAGAGGAAAGCACAAATCCGGGCATCTTTCATGAGTTCAATGGAGGCTTCAGGAGAAGGCCACTGGTGAGGAGCTGACTTGCCTTTACTGCTCTCTTCCTCATCATAGGATTCATAGGAGCTGCTGACTGCTTCATCATCTGCATCCAAAAAAGGGGAAAGACTGGTATGTTTCTAGGTAAAATTTTCTAGGTAAAAAAGCAATCTTCCTTGTTTTATTAGGCAAACTAGAGTTCATAACAGCATGCAGGGTATGGAAGACAGAGAAGCAAAAGTGGCCTAGAAGCCTGTTTAGTTTGCATATTCAGAGTTGGGCTGACAAAATATGTCATCTTTATTGAACTTTTGTTTCCCACACCACTTCGATCAACAGGCACAAACCAAACACAAATGTCAGATTGTATCAGGTGTTACTTTATTTATGTGACAATTACATCTTGCAATTACCTGAATGTATGAAATGTATGTATAGCTTCTAGCCTCTACTGAAGCAATTGCTTCCTTTTCACAGAAAGAAAAGAAACTAATAAAATGACACACATAATGGCATGTCTGCACCAGTTTGCCTTTAGATGACTGAACACGGAGCACAAGAAGTAAATGCATTTGCATTTCATGACATGTTCTGTCATCAGTTGTTACTGATTCTCATTTATAGCTGGATAAGTGCTTCCCAGTGTCCCTCATATTGGCCATTGTCTGCTCCTCCTCATTTGTGGTCAGGATATTATCCCCCCTCCTTTAAAAAATGATTAAATTTCCATTCATCCACATCCAGATGTAAGGCAGCTCCCATAATACTGTGAGATTTGTTTTCAACCTTTGAATTATCTCCCCTACATCACAAGCTACTCCTTCCCTATTGTTTATTTTTGCACAAAATGTTTAATGTCCAGCTGTTGGCACAGAGGTGCTGTTGCAATACAGTCAATGTTGTTAGTGAGTTACAGTTACATTAGCTAGTGTCCTCATGAGAACTTCCAGGCCCTGGGGAGACTTGATGTGATGTACTGTGCTACTGGTTATACTCTCTATTTCGCAACAAGTACATGACCCATTGGATACCCTCATAGGATCACTACAAGTATGATTCAAGCAATGCCCCAGAATTCTACCTTGGGGAGGACAGCTTATACAAGGTTACAGCAGCACCTTATTTTGCCCAGAGCAGCCCAGGCATAGAAGGGCGTTTACTCTGGCCCGGCTTAATGCACTACCTTCAGCAGAGCAGGAGGGATGGTGTAAAAAGATCCCCTGGGCAGAATGCCTCAGGCCATGTGGAAAGGAGTAGATAGAAACAACTGAATACGTCCTGTTGTGGTGTATATATTAGAAGGATGTACGTGAAGAACTTGTTTCCCCTTTGATTGGCCAATTTTCCGGTTGTACAGAGCAACAATGTATGCATGTGCTGCTGTCTGACTCCAATCCCATGCTTACACATAATATTGGTAAATTTCTTACTACTGCAATGGGCATTAAAAAAGGACCCTAAAAGTGGATGAGCCTCTGTAATTAAGAGCATGGTTTGCTAGAAATTTTGGAATTGCTTTAGGGGAGATGTTTTGATGCTGTTGTTGTTCACCTCAGAACAGATTATTGCTTTGCATTTGATCCCAAATTTTTGGTATACTTCTGTATATTTATATATTTTATTTGTGGCTGGTCTTTTGACCGTAATAAAGTTTTATCTGTCTGTCTGTCTGTCCGTCTGTCCGTCCTTTCTGAATTGACAGACCATAACAACAGGACCCATTGCACGGTAGCTAGCCCTTCATAGGGAGTAAAGTGCTTCCACCATTTTCCTTGTGCTCTTCATTTCCTCAAAGGGATTGTAAAAAGAAATGAATCCACTATCTTAGAGGAGGAAATCTCCCTGTCTTAATATCATGATAAACCTAAGTAAAAAGACATTTGACAATACAGCTGGTGCAGACATACCTTTAAAAAACAGTAATTCATGCTTCATCCTCTCCACATGCTTCCAAGCTGTCTAAATCCCATGGCCAAGCAACCTGCTCCTATCAGTTCAGCAGCAACAGTGACTGCATTCAGATATAGCATTAAATCACAGTTTAGTGTAAGGGTGGGGAAACCAGTGTTCTCCAGCTATTGTTGGATCCAAGTCACATGCTGCTGGACCACTGGAAACACCAATGATCAGGAAGGATGAGAGCTGTAGGGCACAGGTTAATCCCAATCTATTGGGTCTTCTGAACTGATAGGCTATGCTTTGTGCAAAACAAATTGACTTAAAACTGTATGCCATGCAGGTGGCTTTTTTCAGCAGTTAGTCCATTTGGATAACACCAGGACCACTCATTAAATTAAAAAACAAAAGAAACAGCTTCCAAACTTCTCTTTGAAGCTATGGCTAAAGACAAAGTATGGGTGGGACATGTCAGTCCTAGGATTATTGTGGCTTGTTTACATCATTATAAATGAGGGGTGGATGAAGTGTGGCTCACAAGTCAAATGTGTGCCCCACAAGGTGGCCCCTGACAAAAACACATTTCACCCTAAAACCACATCCCAAAGGCCTTGAGAGTACCATTTGCATTTTAAATATAATTGCATTTCTATGAGCCTGTTTTACTTATTTGAAAGCCTTTTACAGAAACCAGTGACTGACTACGGGAATTGTTTTTACAATGCAAATTGCATTCCCCAGAGGTGGGGAGGGCAGAGCGGAGAGACTGTTGGATCTCCAATTTTGGAGTATTGTTTTTTTTGGGGGGGGGACATAGAAGGGGATGCAGCTTTCCATGAACTGGAAGAGGGGGGAAATGACTCCCAGATCCTTAGAAGTTGCCAATCTTTGGGTTTGGATTCCACTCCGAATATGACCAGCAGCTGAGAAAGGAGGATCCAAATTAGAGATGGGGACGAATATAAAAACAGATTTTTTTTTTGACAAATATAGCCAATTTGTCATATATTCATCGATCCATATTCATTGAAATTTTAAGTCTTGATGGATACAGATCAATGAATATTTCCGTTTTTATTCATCCCCATACGAATTTTAAAAAGAGCCATCCTATGGCTTTTCCATTCTGCCTACCGGCCCGCTGATCAGTTGATCGGTGGGCCAATAGGCAGCCACCCACTCCCATGGCCTACCCCCACCCCTTTCCTCTCCTTCCCTACCCTAAATGAAGCCACAGCTGCCATCTTTCCAAAGGGCAGCCAGTTTCCTTTCTACAGCTGTGGAGGCCCAATGGAAACCTTGGCAGTAGTGGCGATAATTACGGTAAGGAAGCACTGGCGGAGGTGGGGGGGCTAAGGTAGGGAGAGGAAGGGGTTGGGGTAGGCTGTGGGGGCAGGTGGCTGTGGGGATAAGAGGCTGCCTATCAGCCCATCAATCAGCTGATTGGCAGGCCGGTAGGCAGAATTGAAAAGCCATAGGATGGCTTTTTTCTATGTATGGGGGTGCTGGCAAGGGTGGCAGGGGGTGGGGTGGATGGGAGATGTCAGTCAGTGGGGTGGTGGCAGTGGTGGTGGTGTGGTGGTGATGGGGGGTGGGGGATTTGGCGTGTACTTTTTAAGTAACTCTCCACAAATCGACAAATAAGTTCATTATTCATTGGTTCAGGGGGCAACTTCATGCTTCAGGACAACTTGCCAAAATGGTGAGTCATCCCCATTGCTACTCCAAATTTTGAAAAAGAGATTAAGACGTATTCTCATATTTTGAAATAGGAAGATATTCAGAATGTTAGTGTATAGGCGGTTGTTAGGTATGGGGTAAAGATATTTATTGAGCTGCTCCCCACCCCTGATGGGAAAGTCTGACAGTGTCAACATGAATGCTAAATTGACATTAGCCTTCATGAATACATTGACAGAAGAAAGGTAGGGGGGAAGCTTGGAAACATGACAAATCTCACCCTGTTTGCCAAACTGCTACAGTAAAAGAAGCTTTGGAATTTTTAGATTCCAGCTCAGCAAGATTGCAGAGAATTGAAGCTATTGAAGTTTCTGAAGTGCATTCAAAGATTTACAACTTTGATAACTTTCCAAACTTGTTTATAAATTGAAGGACAGAGCATCAGCACTGAAAAGAAGAAATGAGTGATGTGATGAGTCCAGAGTGAAATGCTTGGAGCTATTCCTAAAAGAAAAATGGGAAAAGAAGAAGCTGGACTATTGGCAGAAATTTAAAAAAAAACAAAAACAGAAAAGTATGTATTAGAAATTTTAAAAGAAATTTAAAAAATGCAGAAAAAGACCAAAGCGGTTAAAAAAAAAACATTTGAGTATGGTAACAAAGAAGACTGTGACATAAATAAAAGCAGAGATAGATAATATGCTATCAGAAATTAAGAATGAAGTGAAAACATTGGATACAAAAATTAAGGTGATTGATAGAATGGCCAAGGCTAACACCAGACAGTCATATGAATATGAAGATAAGCTTGATGAAATTGATTTTAAAAATTAATTGAGTTGGAGGATAGAGGACACAGGAAAATGTGAAACTATGTGGATTTCCAGAGGGTGGAGCTGAAGATAGAGTAAAACTCAGAGATGCAATATTGCTGTGGATTAATACAGTGGCCCCAAGTTTGGGTTGAGATGAAGTCAAACTAGATGGATAGCTACTCGATTGGTCTACCATTTTGAAGGGGAAAACTACAGTGGAGCAAGAGGGAACCAGATTAAGTGAAAAGTTGTTTGGTTTGTGTACCATCTCAAAGTGAAAAACATCTGAACTCTGAAAGTACCCATAATGTCAAGAGGATATAAAGAAGATTTATTTTCAAACTGAGATTGGTTTTTCTTTTACTACTTGACAGGTATAAGATCTGCTATGAGAAGATTTTATGATTTCAGGAAGAAAGGTTAATTTGGACATTGTTATGAAGTGGATTTAAGAAGATATAATATGGACACTATTGAGATAGGTTTTACATAACCTATTGGATAAGTATGATGGGGATATAAATCTGAAAAACTGTTTGTAAACAAATAAGCAATATTAATGGGAATTCCAAGGGCAAACAGATATTGAAAGTGAATCAAAGGTTGGGGAAAGGGATGTAAACTGGCAAATAAAAGTTCCTTGAAGTTATAGGCATCTACCATTAAAAGGGGTTATTGTAAGAAAGGGAAGGGAGAATCATGAGATTAGACGAGGGGAGCTTTATAACGTAAGGGAGAAAGTAACTCCAGATACTTACTGGAGTTAAATATATTAAATAATTTAGAGAGGTTTGGAACATAAATTAATAAATTAAGATTTCAGTAGGAAAGTCAGTCTGAAAAAAAATACTATACGTATTTAGCTATTGGTAGTAGCTAGTAATTTTCAAATTCTCTAATTCTCTATCGCCCATCCAGTATAAATACTTAGGACAACAATATGATCATGACAAATTCATAAATACAGAGTGAAAGACTATGTGGCGGAATGTGGAAAGGCAGTACATGAATGATAGGTTTTGAAAACATGCCATACCCATAGTTATTGTGGCATATATTACTCCCTCAGTAACCTGCAACCCTGGTCTGGATCCAGAAGCTGCAAGTCTACCATAAAGACCTGCATAATCACAGACAGAGGTAAAAGTGAGAGAAGATGGAAACCTACAAAAATAATCCTCACCAATCATTAAAAGGCAGATTAAATTCATTTTACACAGGGAAAAATATTATTTAGGGCAGAATATTTTATAATTAGAAGCAGTCCTCTAACATGCAGAGCAATCTCTTTTACCAAGATATGATCACTGTGATAAATAAAATCAGCTGATGTCAATTGATTCTGAACTGAACTCATAGTAGAGTTGAGATTTTTCCCTAGTCTTTCTGCAGGTCTCTGCAGCACTAAAAATCTGCTCCAGAGAGCTTCCCAGCCTTCCAGAGCAAGCTTAATAATAATAATAAGAATTATTATTAT